AACGGCCGATTGGGTCACCAGCGCCTGGGTGGACCCCACTTACCTCACCTTGGAGGAGAGGGTTTCCTCCACTACCGCCTCCCTTTTAGGAAAACCATCCCTTCTTTCAAGGTGACCGATTCGCGGACCAAGGGAACGCCCTTGGTCAAATCAGCCAATTATATTTGGCGAGCTCCCGATTTTTCCAAAGACCGATCTTAGGAAAATCGAGGAGCTCACACTTCCTTTCGAATCATCGAAGAGAACAGTTAGCTTCGAGTCGTCGAAGACACACTTCTAAACGAAACTTCATAGAGAACGGCTCGAGCCTAGAGTACCAGAGTTTAGCGTTCGACTCCAGCCGAGATCTTCATTTTGCTCGCGCTAATTGAAACAGTTGTCCAAGATTAATTTGGCGGGCAACACAGCGAGGTCGCGTACATCATAGGATTCAATTGCGACGCAACAACAGCTTTGTTTCACGATTGCGATCTAGAGATTATTGACTAACGCGCCGATTTGGTTAGCGGTAGGATCGCATACATTTATCTTCATAATACTGTCGATGAGTGTCTCTTCATCCTGTTGTACCGATTTACATAAACTAAGGTCTCACTTCCCCAGGAAATCACGGCATAATATTACCGAATTTACCACCGTGCTGTCGGGTACCATTAATAAGCAAACGTCGTAACATTTACAAGTACTGATTTCTGCGGACTACGGTCAAACAAATTCCAAACAAATTGATATTCACTTTTTCCTTTTTTCCTTTTTACATTACGTGACATTACGTTGTCCGATACAAAAGGCTCCTTATAAAGTTAACTTCGCTTCCCCGATCTAAAAGGGTATCTAAACGTAAAGTAATTGGTTTACTATTCGAATCGATTTCGTAAGTATAAGTAAGTATTTTTCGATTTCGTAAGTATTTTTTACGAAACCAAAAACCGGGTTTTTGGACACATTATTCAGCTCGTTCCTTCTTTCTGGGTATTCCAGTCTTCTATGTCCAGAATTGACCATATTTGTAGCAATTTTTTCTTTTCCTCTCCGGGCACGTGCAATTTCGAGAAACATCTTCGCTTTCGTTGCAATTGAACCAACGGGGATTTGTCTCGTTGCCTTTGCGCTTGTTCACGCGGTATTCTTCTTACGGTATTGCGTTACTCAATATCTTGTTCGTCGATTCGAAATGTATTTTCGCTTCATCCATCGAATTCGCACCGAGAATGCCGTATATTACGTACTCGATCCCACGTTTCCGTTCTGCCATTCTGCCATTCTGCCATTCTGCCATTCTGCCATTCTGCCAGCTAAAATAATTTTATACCGCTGGCTTCGACACTAGTTCCAGTCACTCCGTCGTTGAACACGTAAGCCTGCACAAGAACTTCAAAGTATGAACATAAAGAAACATAAATGTTTGTCTATAATCATACAGACGTAAATTGTATAAGGTCAACGGATCGTAAGAGTTTCCCACGTAAGTTTTATCATAAGGGTACAAACGTTCACCATGTAATGAACAGAAAGGTGCGCAAAACGCGTAAATTCACACCAAGCTTTATTAACATGAAATCCGCAATCGGCGCAACGCAACCTAAGTATCTGCATTGTGGACACGTAAGATCTTATCCGACTTCTAAAAACCTTCTAATCGGGAGGACGGGTGGATGAACTCTACGTGGTCCAAAAGGAAACTAAGTACCGAGGCCAATACAATATCGTTTCGGATCGTTGCCTGTTATTCTTTGTTTATGCGGCCACGGAAATCAAACAACCTGTCGCTTCGTCTAAGGTCCCAATCCTCTTCTCGCCACACTTGCCGTTTTCTTACGAAACGGTTAGTTCCGGTAAAATTTGTTAATCCTTGCAGTGCATATAAACTCTTACATACAGTTCATTTGAACATAATACTTGAACATACGATATTCGGCAAGTTATAGTTTTTCGTAAGTATAAAATCATTGCTTGGTGATGAATATAATATCAGCTGGTTTGGTGGCTGAGCAGTGATCGGTGTTATCGCGCTAAATGAAGAATTAACAACGTTAATTTTAATCATCTTACTTTCATGCGATATTTTCATTCACGATTTTTATTGTGAATAAGTAAGCGAGTAGCGAAGGTTGAGGTTGCGTATAGTAGATCCCAACGAGATAGCAAGAATATACGAGAAAAATATAGTAGACTATGTTTCAAAGAAATACAGCAATATAATACATTAAATTTAAAAAATTTCAATTTTTATCATTTTCAGCTTACCTCTTTAAAAATTCGGTCTGGACGGAATTTTCTCCACAAAAATGTCGAAACGCGATATAAATTTGACTAATTTTAACACACGTTAAAACATCCTTTAACCCTTTGAGCGCTATGAACCCGTATATAGGTTCTCGCACAACCATTCGATTTGGGCTATGAACGCATATATGGCGTTCTCACATAACCATTCAATCTGGGCTATGAACGTTGTATAGTTTTATAAAATAATAATTTTCTAATAGTTTACAGTTAGTTTAGAATATTGCCGAAACGTGCTTCGCCATAAAAAGCAGACTGCCTAGCGCGTGCACTGTCGTAAGAAGTAGGCGGTCCCACAGCGCACGCTTAACCGTTTTACTGCCAAGCGGCGCGATCGCGCTTCTTCTATTTTGTGTCCAAAAGTGCCAGCGCTCTGAGCTGCGAAGCTGACAATCAGCGCGCTCGGTTGGTGAACGCGGAATATGAGAAGCGCTATCGCGCCGCTCGGCAAATATCGATTGGGAAACAATAATGACCCGTGGCACTCAAACGGTTAACGTCCAATAGCTCAGCGCTCAAAGGGTTAAGAATGCGTTAACTATCTTATTTCAATGCTCATTCTTAATGTCATTCTGATTTTTCTTCAAGTATCCAACAATAAAGCAATATAGCCATCAGATATAACAATCTAAAAGATTCAATGGATTTCTTTTGCCAAAAATCCTATCCTTTCTTTTTATCATTGTTAGATTTCACAAATATTTATTGATATTTTATAGATTGTATTTGTACTCTATACACGTAGCTTGCAAGCTGTACGAAGTGCGTCGCGAGTAAGAAATAACAAAAGACACACCACAGAAGAACAGACCAATAAGACATACGCATTAGTCGCTAAATATTTACACGTAATTGCACTCTCAATTTACTAGTATTGTCTACTATCGGTTAAGTGCTTCTCCATTTATACGTTAATACGTTATTTATACGTTACTTGACATTTGCTTTATAACCGGTGTTACGGACCCAATCCGTTGTGTACTCTAAGATCGTTGGCGCGGGCACGGGTGCTGGTGCTGGTGTGTAAGGCCAACGTGTGCTGTCGGTTCGTCTCGAATTTACCAAATGTTTCGGCCGACTTTGGGGTCGGTGTTCCCCAACAATGATTGGATGATGCCACAAAATCTTGAGCTGATAGTGCCCGATTTGATTATGTAGCGAATAATCACTCAACGAGAATGATTATTCGCAAAGACTTGTTACGGCGCTGAGAATGACTGACTTCTTGAACAAATGCTTGCAAACGACTGATTGACTAACTGTGAATGACTGACTCTCTGTGATTCATGATTTCCGAAGCCAAGGATTGTTAAAGGAAAATCGGTTTCCTGATTGGCGGATGTTTGGACCAAGGGTGGGCCCTCGGTCCGCGAATCAGTTGCCCCCAAAGAAGGGAGCAACGTCTTCCACGACAAAAGATCGCTTCTGGAGGAAACCTTTCCCTCGGAGTGAAGTTGTTGGTGAGCCACCCGCACATTGGTGAACCTTCTTGAGACGTGACCGTTGGTTTATGGCTTCGAAAGTCATGACCATCGCACATGGCTTGGACCTTTCCTTTACAGGCCCATTGTCATTGCCTGCTTTCTAAAATTAGTCGCTAAAGAATGCCTCGTGTTCGACGATCCGAGAAAATAAAGAACAGTTTGCAAAAGTGTATTGTAAATGGATAAAATAGAAAATACCGAACATGAAATAAAACAGCAATTACGGTCTGGTTGCTAATAGACCGTAACGGTTTTTTTTCCACCCGTTTTTTGTCCCACGATGAGACAGCTTGAAACATGAAATCCTAAATACAGCCATTGTTCACTTATTTAGACTCGGCAGAGCCGTCGCTATGCATAGTCGGAAAAGTAAACTCTATAAATGTTTCCCCAAATGGATAATAGCTATTTGAAAAAAGTAAAAATTTATGTATTGTAATTAGTGCGTACTGCAGTAACGTATGCGTGCGATACAACGTGGACTGTAATCGAATACCTTACGTCGTCTTCTTTACAGTCGTTAGAAACTCACCTAAAGTTAAATTACAATCCGTCGCAACCTCCTGAAATTTTACAATTTGGTAATAACCAAATTTTGCGATATTATAATATTACCCTATTTTAATATACCGATCCCCAATTAACAATGTCAGATTGCTATCTATACTTATTAGCGCAAGTAACTTATATTGCTTCACCTTTACGCCCTTACAGGGTTTTTGTCTGCGATAACCGCGACGTACTGCAGTCACCTCACAATCAGTCGCATCGCTACACTTTACACACAAAATATTCATATCTCACACGTGTACATTACATAATTAGACTTTACTAATCTTTGAAAGCATGCTTATTAAAAATTTATAATAGCGACAAAGTGTAAGATATTATTATAGGCCAATCATTCGTTGATATGTTAGTTAATTGTTTATTATTAATCAGTTCTCAAGGCAAGATAATATTGTGTCCATATCAAGCTTAGTTATGAATTTTAAAGACGAGAAGGAATAATGTACACGACGTTCAATTTTAATTATTAGCATCAATTTTTAATCATTATGTATAATTTCTTTGCAATATAAAATAGAATTTAATCACAACCTACATTAATTACTTCATAAAAGAAACTAAAGATTAACACTTTTTGGACATTTTTTTTACCTTTCCTTGGGATTTACGAGATATAGAATACATGGTTTTGTTATTTCAATTCCTTTTTTTTATTTACAGAATATATATGCCGTGTTTATTATGAACAAGATATATTGGATGAAAATTTTGTTGATATCGATATATCACAATTTTTTGAATATCTTTTAAAATTGGACAAAAATTCTGAAGTTGCTGTAATTGCTAAAGCAGTGTATTTAAGAAAATCAGATAATTTGATTACGGCACGAGAAATATTGAAACAAATGCTTACACCAAAGCCGCATTCGGTATATGGTTGGTTGGAATTGAGTAAAATAAGCATAAGGCTTAACTGTTGGGAAGATGCAGAAGTTGCCGCTAGACGAGTATTAGAAATTAATCGTGGAATAAAAGACGAATTATTATATCAAATGCAATTAATAGCACTTGAATCGATAAGTAGAAGTAGCGATAAACACAAGTGGGAAATTGCTCTGCACGAATGTGAACAGGTAAGACTTTTCTCTATTTATGTAATTTCTAACTGCTGATTTACGAGTTATATATCACAGCATGTAAATTTTTTTTTTTAATTAATCTGTGCATGTACGTATATACGTTCCATTATTGAGATGTATCAAGCAGTAATTGTTTGATGATGTTACGATATATTAATGTAAATTTTTCGAGATCGAATGATCGGAATTGGATATAGCATAAAAAGACAAATCTAATGGTCTTATAAACCATCCAATTCCGATCATTCGATCTCGAAAAATTTACATTAATTTGT